CGTGCGCCGGGTTGGTTTGTGACTGTGGCCTTGTCCTCACAGCTGCCCTTGTGCCCGGAGGGTCCTGGGGAGGGACGTGAGCAGAGTGTGTGTGCAGCGTGACTGCCCGTTGTCTCACACCTTCCTGGCCACTGGGCGGGGGGCCTGAGAGCCAGAGGGGGCCTGTGCGGCCCGGGACACATGGCCTCTCCCACCGCTCAGGGCAGCTCAGTCTCTGGGTGCCGGGGTGGTGGTGGAGGCAGTCATGGTTCTGTGCACACCGGGCTCACTATGTGCTTGGGAACTTTCTAGGTTGAAAACGACATTTCTGCTTTCACCTACGAGAGGACACTCATGATGGAGCAGAGGTCACAGATGCTGAAGCAGATGCAGCTGTCCAGGAGCGAGCGGGAGCGAGAGGTGCGTGAGGGCCGCGGCCACAGAGACCAGGCTTTCCGAGAAGCACAGCCGGCTTCGCTGAGTCTTCCCTGGGACTCTCTTGCAGCCCAGGAGGGTCCTCCAGGGAGCATTCCTCAGGTGCTGCGTTGCGGTCTCAGCCCCCGGTCCGCGTGGAGGTGGCAGAGGCCCTGCAGGAGCACAGGAGTGGGGTCAGAGCCAGAGCACGTCAGAGCCTGGGCGTGCGGGTGCCTGGTTAGAGGAGCGGCGGCCTGCCAGAGGCACGCTCACGTACAGGAAGGGACAGGGCCGGGACCTTTGAACTTAGCTTTTCTGACTGAGCAGCGATGCAGGCGGGAGACGTGGGGACCCTCCCCAAGGGCGGTGCCCTCTGACAGGGTCAGCGGCTTCTGAGCCAGATGAGTGCCCACATGAGTGCCTGCAGCTTCTTACGATGGCTGCTTCGTCTCACAGCCTGAAACCCTGGAGCCCCTCAGCGCCCTTCCCCGCAGCGTGCACAGATTCTGTCCTGTCCAAGACCAGGTGGGAGGGGAGAGTGAGTGTGTGGGGAGGGAGGGAAGTGAGCTGGAGAGGAGGTGCCACCACACCCTGCCACCAATGCAGACCTGCTCGGCCTCCGCACATGGAAGCTGCTCGCCCAGCCGCAGAGGCTTGGGCTCCGTGGGTACCTGTAGGCTGCTGAGGATGTCCAGGTGTGTCCACCTGAGCTACACTGGGCTGGGCCCCGTGGCCACTGTGAGACCCCGAGGGCAGGCGTTTCTGGGGTCACTTCACACCGGAGGACGGTGTGGGGGTCGCCTGGTAGGAGGACGCTCAGCTCTGTGAGGTCACGGCCCCGTGGGGTCTTCGTGGCTCCCACCAGGCTGGCATCACACGCGTGTCTGTGTCTGCAGACCAGGTGCAGGCGATGGTTTTCTGAGACGACAGTGACAGCAGCGGCAGGGACAGAGGCTTTGCCTGCCCTGGGGCCTCGGCCTCAGCAGGAACCTGCAGTACACGGGTCTGTGTATGGGGCCATATGCGCTGCCAGCCGGAATCACTAAGCAGTGACCACCCTCTCCCCAACAGAGAAGCGCGGCTCTGCCCGCTCCCAGACCCCGGGAAGGTCAGGGTGGACACAGATGTGGGAACCAGGGGGGATGCCCAGCTTGTCTGTGGACAGAGACCCCTCCCACGGCGGCCCGGGCAGCCAGGAGTGCTGGGAGGACCCACATCCCCTGTTTCTGTCCAGTGGCTGAGCCACTGTGCAGACACTGGCTGGGCACCCTCTGGTGCCCTACACGGTGGCCCTCAGGGCCAGGTGGGCGGCGCTGGCTCTGGCGAGAGCGGGCAGCCCTTGGGCTCTGGTTTCGCGTTCAAGGCCACGGGAAATTTAGGCCGGGCCGGGCTGTGAGGTGGCTGCAGGGCCAGCCACAGTGAGTAGAGGCCTGGGGCCTGCTGTCCATGTCCAGAGAGAGAGGCAGCCCCAGGCCCTCCCCAATCTGTGTCAACCTCTTCCCTTTCTGGAAGGACTGGCATCCAAATTAAGCATTTTTATTTGGAGAGGAAGAACCTGGTCCAGTGAAATCACTCGGGGCCTTTGGCTTTTTAAATCATCCCGGGGCTCTGGACTCCTGATGTCCCTGGGAGGAGCGGCTCCCCCGGGCTGCGGCACAGACTCAGGCAGGGCTCCAGCCACGATGGGAGAGGTGGCCATTCTGGCGCATGTGTAAATATCACTTCCAAGGTGGCACCCGTGTCTGGGAGCTCCCACTGGCCTCCCCTTCAGACTGGCCACAACAGCAGGAGGGCGTGAAGAGTACAGGGAGGGAGGACCCCGTGGAGGGTGTTCAACCACCAGGGACTGTGCCGTTGGTGCGACCTCGCAGTGAGGGCACCACTTCCCCTTCGGCGCCCACAGCGAGGGGCGGACGGTGTTCTCATTTTCCTCGGATTGTCCGAAGTGACCCATGGGGCCGGCCCTGTCATTGGCTCCAGCGGTGCCCCACAGGGTGCCGTCAGCCTGGCTGGCCCCCAAACGTCCCCTGGCTGGTGAGACACAGCCTGCTTCCCTGGGACAGGGCCTGGATGCTGGCACGGCTCCACCTGCCCCGAGCCTCCCTGAGACAGGGACGCCTGCGTGCCGGTTGTGTGGGCGAGCGGGTGGTCTGGGGCGAACACAGTGTGTGTGGAGCCCCGCCAGGTGGGGGGGAGACTCTCCCAGCACGTGTCCCCTCCTGTCAGCACGGGGTCGTGGGGCCTTTCTCTCCAGTTCAGGGCCAGGGCGGGACGGTGAGGGGGTGAAGATGGGAGGAGGAAGTGAGCGTTTGGTCGGGAAGCCTGGGAGGAGGGAGGCAGCCGCGGGGGCGGCACAGGGCCAGTGTGGGAAGCCAGGCTGGGTCCCAGGTCAGGCACGCAGGGCCCTTCTGGTTCTGTGGGCTGGCCTCGCCTCTGGTCTGGCGTCCTGGGTCGTTCTCACCTGGGGGAGTTTTGAGACTGGCTGGTCTCAACGAATCCCGGGCCCACCAGGCCCAGCTGATCCACGACAGGAACACTGCGTCCCATACCGCAGCAGAGGCCAGGACCCAAGCGCCGCCTACGCCAGACAAGGTGCAGATGACCTGGACCAGGGAGAAGCTGATTGCCGAGAAGTACAGGAACAGAGACACCAGCTTGTCTGGGTTCAAAGACCTCTTCAGCATGAAGCCGTGAGTGTCCGTGCATGTGACAGATCCTGGCAGTGCTGACCTGACAGTGAGGACAGCGTCCCTTCCCTGACCACTGAAGAGCTTTGGGGCAACCCCGCAGGGCAGCGGGCCCGTTAGAGAATAGGGAGCCGCCTGAGCGGGCACTGAGGGGTCCTGCTGCTGCCAAGGCCGGGCCCTGAGTTCGGCCCTGTGGCCAGGCACTGAGGGATCCTTCTAGTGCTGAGGCCAGGCGCTGAGGGGTCCTTCTAGTGCTGAGGCCAGGCGCTGAGGGGTCCTTCTAG